TTCATCTTAGTTATGTCTAGTAGGTCGGAGAGGGAGTGATACCCAAACACTCGAGCTGAGTGGGGGACCTCGGTTCAAGAGCGAAGAGGTTTCCATGAAGGGGCCTCGACCTCTCAACAAGACCAATCTAAATAGGTTTTGAGCCCTCTAAGCTATCCGACGAGGAAATAATGGATCCGATCCCTAATAACTTGAATTGTTTCCGGCTCGAGGATGGGCAATATCCGTGGAGCCACATATAGAACAAGGTCAATGTCTTCAAGGAAGGCCTCATTGCTGGGCTCCGCTTTCCTCTTCATCTATTTATCTATGAAATCCTTCGACACTATGGTTTAGCATTGGATCAACTGCACCCAAACTCAATTAGGACCATTGTAAGCACCATTTCTTTGAAACTTGCCTGGGCTGGTCATTTAGATTATGCTCCCTTGTGATAGCACCGTTAATACGTGTGTTCTTGTTGGCATTGGACGGCAAGTCAATGCCACAACTACATTGCATCAGCTCTCTGAGGTGTTGGTCATCTATTCCTACGATAGCCACAGAGAGCTCAACTTACGTGGGTGGCTCTACTATCTGTAGGTCGCCAATTCGCATGGAAGCCTTAAAAGGCTTGACCCTTAAGGTCACCCTCACAGTCTATTAGTCCTCGACTCCCGCGAGAGCTGCGAAGGGTACCTGGGTGGGCTCCACCTGTAGAGGTGACCTCACGAATAGAGTTGAAGAGGCTCATCCAGGCTGATTACTGTTGAGTGCGAATTTTAAAATGAGAGTTGAGGACCTAGCTTTTACATAGCAATTCCCATAGACTGCACCAATTGATGATGTGCAATCTAGTAGCTCCCTACTGGAGGGCAACTCGGATGTCTCACTAGCGAGTTTGCCAGGTTGATTTGCAAAAAAGACAGTATCAGAGTGCATGGGATGCTTTACTCAGGGTGGGCATCCGATGCTTAAGTCAGCGAACTGGGGATTTTGGAGAGAGTTAAAAAGCGAAAGAGCTGGAGAGCTAAATTGTGCATACCTTCTAAAGTTGGAAACAAGACCTTTGTATTGTTTGGTGTGAGCTCCATGCGCTGTATCCAAGATATCTGGGAAGACGTGGCTAACTGGTCTGAAGTCCTCGGAGGTAGTTTCACATGCAGACTAGGCTTTTGTGCCTTCATCCGAAACATTCAGTATGGGAGCTAACTTCTGAAGGACCCAAGAATGATGAGACGCCTGCAGAGGAGGTCAGTGAACACGTCTCATAGGTCGGCACCTGGACCTCAGTCAGGTTGGCAAGTTCTTGAGGGAGGTTGCTCTCCATGTCGAGGTCACTTTGACTAGTACTGACGAGGTACCACAGGTCAGCAAGTCCTCATGGAGGTCACTCCTCACACTGAGGTCCCTTGGACCGGTAACGACGAGGTATCATAGGTGGGCCCTAGACGAGGTGTTGCTAGCCACCCTACTGAGGTGCCCGAGCTGTGTATGGGGTGTCCTAAACTGATTCTGGGGTGCGCCTCCTTGACTCGGCAAGATACGTGTCTATCTACGTGGCGTTGAGTTGTTAAGCGAAAAAGACGGATGCCACATGTCGCCAAGTCAGCGGAGGGCCAAATCACCCCTCATCAACAACCAAGAAGTGCTATGAAGTTTCTCTAGGAAAGTGTCAGCACTCCCAACCCTAAATTAGTCTCAAAGTGGCTCAAATGTGTTTGGAAGCTTAAGATTCCCCCAAAATTCAAGATCTTCCTCTAGAGGCTCCTAAGGAACTCAATTCCCTGCAAAGCTGACCTAGCAACAAGGGGAATTTCGGTCCAAACAGAATGCCCCATGTGTCTCATTCAAGAGGAAAATGCTCATCATCTCTTCCTTCACTACTTGTTTGCTAGAGCTATTCTCTTTGCCAGTCCATAGTCTATCTTTCTTCCCTCGAGCCTTCTCTCTTTCTCTAATGTCCTTAACATCTTGGCTAATATTTTTAATGATAAATTAACAAGGGAGCAAGTTATCAATTGGTTAGCTATGTCCTAGTATTTCATTTGGATAGCTAGGAAGAACTTAGTTTTCAAGAATGACTAGAAAAAACATCACTTGGGTCCTTCCGCAAATCCTGCTAAATCTGGAGATTAACCAGGGCATCGAAGACCTTGAAAATGCCTTATCTCCTAACTTGCATTCCACTTTGGTAATTTTCCAACATCACAACAATGTTGTATGGACCCATGCTCCCTAAATATTATCTATGACGGGGAAGCCCTCATGAATAATCAAGGTTCTTTTGGTCTAGTTATTTTGGATAATGACTTAAAATTTTTTCTATGTGTTATGGTTGACAAAGTTTCTAATGTTTTGATTCCCATGGAAGCTGGACATAGGGGTGGACACAAACCAAGCGTTTCATGAGCTATTCGAGCTTGGCTCAGCTTGGCTCGATCCAATTCAAGCTTCGAGCTGAATTCGAGCTCCACATATAGCTCACTTGTTAATCGAGCCAAACTCGAATACTCTATAGTTCGGCTCGTTAGACTCGTGAGCCTGACCGAGCCTCTATATATAATGTTTATATATTATGCCTTTTGAATAAATGTTATTGGAGGGGACATTGTTTAATGGTGGTCCCCTCACATTCTATCTTTACTCTGAATACTAAAGAAAGTAAAGAGGGAAAAACTCAAAGTATCAAACTCTTCATCTTCCTCTTTGACCTTCATTCTTCACTTCTTCGATCAACTCTCCACTCCCAGTCTCAGTCTCTCAGAGATTCGGTCCGTCTCAACTCTCAAGCTCTCTCACATTCATAGTTGACGACTCGACGCCCGACTATCAACATCAGGCGAGGATTAAACCCTTCATCTTCCTCTTCGTTCTTCAATTCTTCGATCAACTCTTCCAGTCTCAATCTCTCAGAGATTTTGTCCATCTCAAAGATTTGGTCCATCTCAACTCTCAAGCTCTCTCACATTCACAGTCGACGTCTAACATGATTAAACCCTTTGTCTTCCTCTTCGTTCTTCACTTCTTCGATCAACTCTCCTTGTCTCACTCTCAGAGATTCGGTCCCAAGCTCTCACATTCACAGTCGACGCCCGACGAGGATCAAACCCTTCATCTTCCTCTTCGTTCTTCACTTCTTCGATCAACTCTGCCAGTCTCACTCTCTCAGAGATTTGGTCCATGTCAACTCTCAAGCTCTCTCACATTCAAAGTTGATGCCTGACTTTCGACGTCTGATGAAGCTCGGTTCATTATCGACGCCCAACTACTGACGTCCGAGGAAGCTGTGTCCAAATAGGCTCACTAGTCACCAGAAAGCTCGAGTTCGAGCTCGAATAAGCTTAGTTCATTATCGAGCTTGAGGCGAATTGAGATTGAACACATAAATCCTATAATCGAACCAAACTCGAGCTTCCTTTTCTTATTCGAATCGAGCTTGAGCACGAGCTCGAGCCTTGCATTTTTCTACCAAACCGAGCTCGAATACTCAAATATTCGGCCCGGCTCGGCTCGAATCCACCCCTAGCTGAACATATAGCGGTTCTTCAAAGCCTTCTTTTTGCCAAGCAACATGGGTGGACCAATCTCACCATTTCCTCGGTTGCAAAAGCGCTTGTGGATGCAATTGCAAGATTTTTGGAATTTTTTGTCTAGAAACTGAAGCATTATCTTGACAAAATCTCAAATCTGCTTAATTATTTTGGTTATGTATATTTTCAATTTAGACCTAGGGATCAAACTTTGTCAGTGCATCTAGTCGCCCAAGTGGCGAAAACTTCTCCTTTCTTTTGTTGTTGTTGAGATGATATCCCTACACCATGGTTGGGGGATCCCCCATTGTGTACCCCCATGATGGAGAAGAAAAAGTTGCCACTTTTATAATATGGGTTGATTGGTTAAAAGTTTCTTTGGTATGATGCCTTCTATCTTTATTAGTTTTTTTTTTTTTTTTTGTTTAAGAGGGCCTAGTCCAATTTTAAAGGGAAAATCTACGATACGAGGAGGACATAGTATTAAAAGAATTTTGACCAATCAAAACCCATCCATGAATTTTGATAAATAATACATAGTTGGCTGCCACACTTATGATACTAGTTAATTGGTCAGAAAACTTTCAATATAATGTCTTTCCATATCATAGTCGAACCCAATTTTAAAAAGTTATGAATGTCTTGGTGGGTCTCTTTTTTGGTAGGAATATGCTATCAACAAAATGTTATCAAAACTGTCCCAACAATCTCCCATGTTATTTCATAGCTCTTGGGAAGATGTTTTCAATGTGCCGCTACAATGGCTGGTTAGGAGCACCCGATTGGTAGCAGATCTAAACTCCTCTTCTTCACCCTTAATTGAATGGAGATCATCACATTAGGATTTTATGAGGCACCACACATGCACATCTTAGCATGAATTGGGAACATCTCTATACATGGTTGGGATGTACTGTGCGGCGTGCCGATGTGATGTTAAGAAAATGTATACGATTATGTAATGTTGAATTGGAAAATTGGAATCCCTGTATGGAGGCTGTATCGAAATGGAAAAAAGAAAAAGAAACTTTATTATTGACGGGGAGAAGAAAACTAGAAAAGTCATTGATAGCTGAAAGGGGAGAGGGGGGAGGAATAAAAAATTGGTGCACATGGAAAGATCAAAAGAGAAGTCCCACTGTCCAATAAAGACGTGCAACGCGTCAACAGGTGATTTGCCAAACCTAGTTTAACGTGGCAAAACCTCCTTCGTATGCCATTGGATTAGGGAATAGGGAGAGTAGACTACAGTAGACATTCGCAGTAACCCTTGTGGTTTGGCAAAAATTAACCATGGTTACAGAAACGAAGAAGGAAACGATTTTTTTTTTTCACCGTTCCGATTTCTTAGGGTTACGTCTGCCGTCTGCCGTCTGCCCTCTTCTTTTCCTTTTCCCAGTCCATCGAATCTAGTCCACATTCTTCTACTTCTACGACTACTACTATCTGTATGAACTGTAATTTCCCTTTTTTTTCCCTGAAAAATTAATTTTAGTCTAAGACAGATAATAATATCTCCTCTATTTTTTTTTTCAATTAAACTTAAATCCCCTGTCCTTCCCATCTCCTTATATAAGCCCCCCCCGTTCTCTCCTCCGGAGGAACTCATCGAGGATCGGTTTCTGATCTCTTCCGTGTTTACTGAGGTGATGGATTCCACCAAGTTTTCCTTTTCTTCGATGATGGTGGCCGTGGCTGCCCTCTTGTATCTTTTCTTCGCCGTTTCTTTGGCGACGGACATGTCGATCGTAAAGTACGACGAGGAGCACGGAATGAAAACGGGTTGGAGGAGTGATCAGGAGGTGAGGGGTCTTTACGAGTCCTGGCTCGTGACGCACGGTAAAGCGTACAACGCTTTGGGGGAGAAGGAGAGGAGATTCGAGATTTTTAAGGACAATCTGAGATTTATCGACGAGCACAACTCCGGAAACCGCACCTACAAGGTGGGTTTGAACCGATTTGCCGATCTTACCAACGATGAATACCGGGCTATGTATTTGGGTACGAAGCTCAACCCCAACAGGAGGGCTTCGAGACCAAAGAGTAACCGATACGCTTTCCAGGCCGGTGACGCTTTGCCGGACTCCGTCGATTGGAGAGATAAGGGGGCTGTCGTTGCCGTCAAAGACCAAGGCAGTTGCGGTAAGTCTTTGTTTTTTTTAATTAATTAATTTATCTGTTTCATTTTTATTCGATCACTTTATCAAGAGTCGTGTATAGTAGTATCTCATCTGTTTCCTTGGTCAGAAAGTAAAGATTAATGGCTGATCTTAAGTTACGGTAATACCACCGTGAAGAATCGTTATCTGGTTTTGATTGATTAATTGGTTTAGTGGGGTGGGATAATTGCGGATCCATGGGGACTAAACCGGTAAAGTCGGATTCGGCCTTTGGATGATGGAATCTTGTTGACAGATAACGGATTCTTCGTTCGATTCCTCTTTGGTAGGGATTGGGTATGGGTTCACTGTATCTTCTTCAATGGTAGAGGTTACAGTGGCCAACGGGTGGTGGGCCATGTTCTATTTCATTCCAGGTCTGCCCTTTGATCGGACCTGGCAACTATTGGTCGGCCTCGTTGGCCGGACGGCCGGCAGACCGGCCGACTATGCATCCATCTTGAATTATGTCTTCTTTTGGCTCACAAGTCACTGAGTCAGGGATTGCAGATGTATTGTTACTTTGTAATTAGCTAATTAATTAAGATTTAATGAAAATAATGAAGGGAGCTGCTGGGCTTTCTCGACGATTGCTGCGGTGGAGGGGATAAACAAGATTGTTACGGGTGATCTGATCTCGCTGTCGGAGCAGGAATTGGTAGACTGTGACACATCATATAACCAGGGATGCAACGGGGGTCTCATGGATTACGCCTTTGAGTTCATCATCAGCAACGGCGGCATCGACACAGAAGACGATTATCCATATAAAGCTCGCGACGGCCGATGCGACACCTATCGGGTTAGTCTGTCTGTCTCTTTCTCTTTTCCCTTTGTTTCAAATTGGTTAGTTCGGTATTCTAATTAACCAATTAATTAATTATTTGCAGAAAAATGCTCATGTCGTTACAATTGATTCATACGAAGATGTTCCGGAGAACGACGAGAATGCCTTGAAAAAGGCGGTGGCAAATCAACCCGTCAGCGTTGCCATTGAAGCCGGTGGCAGGGCCTTCCAGCTCTACCAATCCGTAAGTTAATTACCCTTTCTCTCTCTTCTTTCCTTCTATCTTAGAATTATTTAACGATAACCCAGAGTTAATTTAGTTGGTATTTAAAATAAAAATGGATGCATATTAATTGACTTGGCACTGTGTAATTGGTTGATCTACTTGATGGTTTTGAACATTCCAACTGTTCTTTGGTTTCAATTTCAGTTGTTAATTGGGTTCAGACAAGTGTAGGAAAAAAACGTTTTTTTTTTCCCCAAAAGGATAATATCATCCTTGTGGGCACTTATGGATAGGTTCATTTCCTTGTAGTTTTAATTTTTATAGAATGGATGACTTCGATTATGGAGGTCTTCAGCCTTTTTTATGTATATATAGGTTCTATTTTAGAGTTATGCAGAACATCTGAATGCCTGTAAGTCCATGGCTCCATGGTAAGAACCGAGTGTGACACTGTGGTTTCATTCATTTCTTCAGGGTATATTCACAGGACGGTGTGGGACAGCATTGGACCACGGTGTGACTGCTGTTGGATATGGCTCGGAAAATGGTGTAGACTACTGGATTGTGAAGAACTCGTGGGGTGGCAGCTGGGGTGAGGAAGGGTACATCAGGATGGAGCGTAACTTGGCTAGTGGTTTAACTGGCAAGTGCGGAATTGCAATGCAGGCCTCTTATCCCATCAAGCAGGGGCAGAACCCTCCAAACCCTGGGCCTTCTCCCCCGTCTCCAGTGAAGCCCCCCACAGTCTGTGATGGTTACTACTCGTGTCCCGAGAGTAACACCTGCTGCTGTCTCTTCGAATTTGGCAAGTACTGCTTTGAATGGGGATGCTGCCCACTTGAGTCTGCTACTTGCTGCGAAGACCACTACAGCTGCTGCCCCCAGGACTATCCTGTCTGCAACGTCGATGCAGGGACATGCCTCATGGTATTAATCACATAAACCTGTTTTCACTTTTCACCATTGTGTTCTCTTTTGATTGTATAGCAACATACCAAATTTTCTTAATTTTTTTTCTTTTTCATCTTTGTACCTAATGGCAATTTTCTTTTCTCTTTTTCCATTACAACAGAGTAAGGACAACCCATTGGGAGTTAAGGCATTGAAACGTAGTGCTGCCAAACCCTTCTGGGCCTATGGAAGTGCTGGCCGCAGAAAGAGCAACAATGCTTGAGAATCCTGGGTTCTTTTGTGCCATGCAGCAAGGAGAGCAAGAAAGGTGCAATGAAGAATATGCCTAACTTGATTAAGCATGGCTGTATTTATTATTGACCCCCTCCCCCTAGAATCAATCCTAGATGATTTATATTACAAATCCTCCTTCCGTCTTAGTCTTGTATTGCAAGCGGATGGATGATCGATTAATTAAATTGATGGGTATTTGGATGATGACATTGTACATAAAGTTATATTTCCTTATTGCATGCCAATGAATTATTGCCAATCTGCTTAGGATTTCCTCTGTAAATACAATCTTCATTATTACCAGTTGCTTTAGTCACTTCGATGAATTAGTTATTAATCATCCATATTATATCCCACATTGGGTGGTCCTATTTCATGGCCTATAACAAGTTTCTTATTTTGTTTTCCTGTAGCGTTTTTTGAACAAGTTAATTTTCCTGTTGCGTGTGGTCTTTGATTTCCAGTTGCTTGTGTAAATTATTACTTGTCTCAAATTGTCATCGCTCATTTTGACCATACAATTCACATGCACACATGAAAGATCGTCTATTGAAGAAATCAATCCATGGCTGGCTGTTTGATTCCCCCAATCAAGGTGCTGGCCTGGAAAAGACAATTAGCTGAATTTGAATTCGGATCACCTGCACCTGCCAACAAAATGCATTCCAACTATCAACATGATCTCACACCACACATCTCATATATAATGGGTCCCACTTTTATTACGAGTCTCAGTTTCATGGTGAGATGTGCAGTATTAGATTAAGGGGTTATTTGACAGGTCTTCATGGAAAGATTTTATGGTAGTTCTCATAATCAAAAGAGTATGGAGTTTTTTTTGTATTAAGATCTGAGCAGTCTGAAACTAGTTTGGCTACTGGATTTGTCCATGTGTCTTTTTGATGCATTAGCTTTTGATGGCTAAATCTGTTACCAACCAAACCAAATAGAGCAGCACGGTCTATCCGGCATGTAATCTGTTTTATTGGCTGTGGCACTAAACGAATCAAACTGAATTTAATAGCTGTTTTATTGGCTGTGGCATCAATCTTTTATCTGCCATGAAGTGCATGTGGTTCACGTTAATTTTATTTTAAGGGTTTTTATATGTTTATAGATTATTTATCACCCTTTAGTTTCAGTCTTTTATTAAAACCTATCCTATAATTTGGACATTATTAGGACATCCCCAATAGTTTTATATATCACCGTTTTTCTTAGAGTAGGAATTGATATTTTTAACTGTAATATCTGTTTGGTTGACCGAATTAATCAAAGGTAAAAAATTGAATTTGCACCCAGGTTTTTGTTTATAGACGGTTGATAAAGAGTTGCCAAGGATAATTTTGGATTTAAAAAACCCTGGGCCCTTGACCTTTCACGTTTAATTTTTTACTTTTTTAAAGAGTTCAGGTGGCCATTCCCAAGCAAAAATCCTAACATTTTGTGATATGTCAATTAACTATGAATGAATTTTGTGACGAAAGCTTTGAATGGATTTTGGTAAACACATGAAACTATAAAGGGTGTCTAAATAAATTATACTACACAAAACTCATATGAAACCTTTACGAGGATTTGTACAAAGATAAAGACGCTGAAAAAGTAATGATACCACAAGAGCTTTCATCAATCAAAATCTCCTTCAATTTTGATAAATACCACGTGATTGATTATCACTTTCATGATACTCGTCTTAAATTTTGATAAATACCACGTGATTGATTATCACTTTCATGATACTCGTTGATTGATTATAAGTTCATCCGTATCATAGTGGAATAAATATCATTAACGGTCATTACTCAATTAGCCAATGCTGGTTAAAGAAGGTATGTGGGGTCTTTTTTACAAAAAGATATGAGTTTCAAATCGGCCTTGCCAAGCCCGGCCCGAAAAATTCGGGCTTGGGCCCACTATTTTTGTTAAGGCTCAGGCCCAGGCCCATAAAATTTAGGGCCAGGTTTAGGCCCAGCCTAGATATTATAAATAATATATATATATATTATTTAAAATATTTGATAATTGATATTTTGTATATTAAATAGAGATTAATACAGATTCATAGGAGATTTGATAATTGATGTTTTTGTGGATATTACATGACAATGGATGGTTATTTTTTTATAGATATTGTAGGTTCTAAGTTGATTTTTGTTGATAGAAGAATTGGTTTTTTAAAATTATCATTTTTAGCATACTAATGACCAATTGAAACTTATAAATTACAAGGTATAATTATTTAATTTCTTTTATTTTAGAAGCTTTCATCTTGATATTAAGTTTAAAGTTTCTTATAGGTTACTATAGTCTCCATGACAATAAGTGAAAGAAGTACAATTTTTTAATTTTGTAACTGAAATACAATAATTAGGCCTGGAATCTTAGCCCGGACCGGCCTGAGACCATTTAATTTTATATATATGATCATACACATTGATTTGTTGAGATGCATGATAGTTGTATAGCCACTACCACAAACTATCGTTTTTTTCATTTAAGATAATCACTTCACTTAATTCTATTTGGAAATACTAAAACCTTGATAACATGTTTTATGTTTTCTGAACATTTTATTCTTTATCTACTCTCTGTTGTTTGCCACACATAGCTTGTTACCCATAAAAGATCTATTATAAGTCACGATAATAAACTATAGTCATTTCAAACACTTTTTTTTTCTAAATTTTGTTCTTAAAAAACCAATAAAAACATCAACAAACAATTACTAATAAAACATAGGATTAATATATGTAATGAAAGTTGAGTTAAGATCTAAGATTAAGAAGTTCTACAAATTTTAAGGGATGGGAAGAAGGTTGGGCTGGGGCCAACCTGAACCCGGACCAATCCGAAGTTGACTTTGGGATGGGTTGGATTGGGTTAGGGTTAAAGGAATTTAGTTTGGGTTAGGGTTATGGTTGGATAGGTCGGGTTGGGTTAGGGTTAGGGTTAAGGTTTAGAACTTAGGGTTGGACTAGGGTTGGCCTCAGCCCGACCTAACTCGGCCCGACTTGCAGCCCTAATTTCTAGAGTTACAATGCTAGATGGTAGGGTTGTCAATGAACCGATTTTGGATTGGATACAATCCGAATCGAAACTAATCAAATTGGTTTCAATGGTTCAATATAATATATTGAGTTGGAGTAGTCCATAATAAATTTATCCATTTCCTTATGGGTTTGATTTGAACCTAAGTCTACATATTTTTCAGTGTAAATACAAAATGATGTATTTAAACACTTTGGTTCATATTTGTCAGCGTTTGGATGAAGTGTAGTTAAATATACAAAATCGATGTAAAATATCATGTAAATACAACTTTGATAAAAACAATGTAAATATTTACATCGATAATCAATGTAAATACAACTTTAATAAAAATGAGGTAAATATTTACACCGATAATCAATGTAAATACAACTTTAATAAAAACGATATAAATATTTACATCCATAATCACACTTTTAAGTTACGACGATCATAACTTTAAACCGATTGATGTACAACTTCATTGTTGTACTTTTACATTTACACTGCATTTAAACGCATCCCTAGTTAAAATATCCTTTAATTCGATATATAAGAAATCCGAAACCCTTGTTTGACTAATGAATCAAAACCTCGAGTCTGAAAGTCCGAAATGTAAAACACTTTAGGTTCAGAGTTTGAAATCCTTGTTCAAAAGCTCTAACTCTCCGGCAGCACAGCACTTTTCTCCGATGTCTCTCTGGCGTAGGATCTATCTGGCAAATTTGCAATGACCCCTTAATCCAATGTGTTGTGCACGCCAGACCTCACATCATTAAACCAAATAGTTGGTGTACTAGATTTATTTATTGGGAAAATTTCCGATCAGGACCTTGTACTTTAGCTTGAATGATAATTTGGTTCCTAAACTTTAAAATGCAACAATCTAGTATCCGAACTTTTGAAGCACGACAATCTAGTGCCTATCGTTAATGGACCATCAGTTATGTATATCACATGACTTCATATGCCATTTAAAACTTTTGAAAATGTCAAAATTATACTTGGAAATAAAACACACTATTGGAAGAAAATGAAACAGAGCCCAAACTCTCTATCACAATCACTAAAACCCTTTTCTGTTATTGTTGTATTTTCTCTCTGACGAAGCATTGTTGATTCTTATTCATAGAAGTTACAATTCTTTGCAAGGTAAAGTTGTTCCTTTTTTTTTCCTATTTTGATCCAGGATGATGGGATTGCAGCATAGTGGGCTATTCCTGAACTAGTTCATGAATAACCATGAATAACGAATGTTGACAATAATGCTTCACTCTTTATAGTGATTGATTAGTTGTTTGAAAATAGTGGCTCGTGCGGAAACAAATCATACGGTGCCCACAAGCTATCCAATGGACAAAGCCGCTTCGAGTCCAATCGCAGCCATGGCTTCCTCTTTCCACTCCAGTGCAGTAGATTCACTGGTCTAAGATGTAGATCCCTGCAGAGGCCTTCAGATTATTCCCACCAAGCCCGTGCTGGTTCCATACTTCCATCTGTGTTCGACCCCTCTCACATCTCCGATATACGGTGTCGCTTCTGTATTCTCATCTACGACTCTAGTTTCTTTGTATATTTTTCTTCATTCAATTTCCATACATCGATAACAATCATGCCAGTATTGAAATTACAGGGATCCCAGCCTTGAAACGTTTGAAAGAAAATGGGTCGGACCAGAACTTCTCGGTGAAGTAATTGGTGAAGTTGGCATGGCAGTACTTTGGTGCACCAACGATATGGCTACCCAAATCGATTTTCCATAACAGTAGTTAAAGGAAAACTTTTCTTTCAGAAATTGCTTTGATTTTGGTCCAAAGATAATTGAATATTCAGAGGAGAACAAAGACAAAAGTGTTGTTGCAGTGCAGGGATAAAAAAGTTGACGTTGATTCTAATTTTAGTGAATGATTGATCAAGAAAATTAGATAACACTTGAAAAGCATTTATGTCTTTTTATATGCCACTTAATGACTGATTAATAGCATGTATTAGATTGTCTCATTTTGATAGTTCGAATAACAGATTGTCACATTTTAAAGTTAGAGAACCAAATTGTCACTTGAGCCAAATTAAAGAGTACTGATCAGAAAATTTTCCTTATTTTTTCAACTTCTAATGATAAGAAGGAAACCCAGAGCTGATGGCAGGCTAAATAATATTTTTATATTTTGGTCTTTGATCCTTTTGCTTTGAATCAGAGGGTCGTACCTTTTGTTTTGGACAAAAGAAAGAAGAGAAATAAGGTATTGTCAGAAAAACTCACTCCAATTTGGGGGATGGGGTGGAGAGAGGAGGACCCAGTGGCCCCTTTGTGCTTTTCAAGACGCAACACCAAGTGCAGCAGATCGATTTAAAAGTCAAGGAACCTTTGCCTTCTTCTTCTTTTTTTTTTTTTTTATGATGCCATTTTGCATAATGGTGATATTTATCCACTGTGATAAGAAGCTAATTACTTGAAAATCCTGTGTTATCACGGAGAGACTTCATGGGCCCTAAATTTCTTTGGAGTTTTTTGTGGAGTTCAGTGGATTGGCCCAGTGTTGGGTAGGGGTTAAAGTGAACCTATCCTACATATAGGGTGTCAATGAACCAGTTTTGGGTTGTATCTCATCTAAATTAAAATCAATTTAGATAAATTAGGTGGACTAATAAGACATATTAAATTAAACCAGTCTAAATTTATTGGTCCAAAGTATTTACTGGATTGGATTAGACCTGATTTATCTGTAATGGATTGGATCAGATTGAATCTATATCCAGTCTATTGATAAAAAGTAAGAAAGCAAATGTCAATGGACTAGGTTTAGGTTGGAACCAATTTAAATAGATTGAATTGAACTCATTTTAGACCGGATTGGATTGGACAAAATCCGGTCCAATTGACACCCTACTACTTGCATGGTTGCACCGGAGTTGGGGATGAATTAACCCATGCTTGGACTAAGGAAATTTCGTTATAAAAGTGAATCTGTGTTGTATTATGTACCCTTATTGTTGTCATGGCAGAGGAAAGAAAGAAGGCATGCTCATGTTTAAAACACTACAGTTATAAAGTTACAGCTGTACTTGTCCCAGGCATGTGCTCCATTAATCAAGCACTGGGCCAGTTGGTCTCTTTCGATTTGCTCCTCACAGCACTTGATCCGAGAAAGGATTAGCTGAACGAGATGGCTGTTCAAAGGGCTGTAAAATCAGTGATTATTTTCCATACCGGTAACAAAATATATGCGATCTGCACCTTTCACAGTGAGGCCCATCAAGGAATATTATAATTAGTTTCACAGCCTGTTCAACAGTCATTGCGTTCAGATAATTCAAATTATACTTGAGTCGTAAATTGTTTCTACTTGTAAGTTATCTTTCATGGGGAGATATTTTCAATGCGCAGCTGAAACATGTTGTGAGGTTGGTATGAAATGTGCTTTGGTGAGAAATAAATCCAAATTCATCTTTTTTTTTTCTCTCTCTCTCAAGTCTATCATACGGATATAAAATTACAAATTTTACCAATAAAAGGGAAATTTATGATCTATTCATAGGAAATTTTGATTAGTTTTCTAAATGTATGGTCTCAATCCCTCACCTGCTGCACCACCCCTTGAATTATGATGGATTCTCTCACTGTTTCCAGCTGTACAAATTCATAAAGATTTATAAAGAAGCATTAAAACTAGTATACGAAAATTGGAGCGAGTCAGCTGCCAATAGTCTTAATCCGGAAAGGGAAATAATGTACTGAATTGCTGATGGCATTAGGTATGAAAGAGACTACGAAGAATTAACAGATTATTGAAAATTAGGGATTAATAGTTTAATCAAATAAAAACAAACTGTTACCGAGTTAGGTTGGCACATGATTTTCTTATTCTAAGTTCTAATATTCTCTGGCAATCGTAGGGCAGGTGGGGCGGCTTTTCCTCTTTATCAATATAAAATGTGCAGGTTCAAGCCTGAGCTCAGTTTGACCATCGGGTTTAAGTTTTGAGCCCGAGCTCGGCCCTTATATAATGTCTGAAGCTTGAGCCTGAGCTCGAAATTCAACCTGTACATAAAACGTTTTATTTTCAATGCATTTTTGTAAACTAATATTATAATAATTTAATAAATTAATTTGTATTTCTTAATAGTGAATTAATCTTTATTAATAATTTAAAAAACAAATCTTTATTATATATAATATAAATGCTTATTTATTATATGTAATAGTATCGTTTCAGGCTTGGGCCTGGGCCAGGCTTATTTAAAAAGCCTAAACCCAAGCCCGCAAGCCTGAAGTTTTATCCAAACCAAAAAAAATAATAAACTCGACCCATGAACAGATCTATTAGTATAATAAATATTCCTCTTTCTAGTCTTATTTTATTTTATTTTTATCTCGTTACCCAACAAAGTTGAGATTTGAGAATGAAACAAATTTGACTAACTAGAAATGAGCCCCCCCGGGCCCCCATTTACTGAATTGCCGTAGGTTGCTTGGTTAATCGGAAATGGTTGTTTAGACTGTAGAGTATACTATAATCTAGAGTGACGTACATACTTTCTTTAGACAGGAATGGGATAAGCACACCATAATCATAATCATCTACTTAACTAGGCACAACAAGGAGGACCCTTCCCAGTTCCCAGCCTTATTCTGGTTAATTAACTAAACTTCAAAAACAGTCAATGTTTACCATGGAATGTATTGTCTCTTTATCGGTTGAGAATCTCTGTTTTCTCAATCTCAAAACAGCAACCACCATAGATTTCTATCTCCACCAGAAATGGTTGCCGTGTTTAACAAAGATCTCTTGAGTTGGTACCTCATCACCCTCAAACTCAAAGAAACTGTAGATGCTGGCATCCAAGACCAAAATACAGACAATAACCCCACCACCACCACCACCCGCTCGCTTCATCTCCCATTAGAGCACCACCAGCAACCTCTAAAAATACAACGACAGTCATCCGATTTGCGGCAGCTATCGATCAGGGGTTGCAACGCCAATAATGTTGAGGAAGAATATTCCATCCCACCGGAGTCCGAGTGGGTCATTTTGATCAGGGAGAAGCTGGAACAGGCCCGTCAAGACGATGCTGCTGGATCATGGGCCAAGCTGTGCATCTATCGAGTCCCCAAGTCTCTCCGGGAAGGAGACGATAAAGCCTATTTTCCCCAGATAGTATCACTGGGGCCTTATCACCATGGCCGGAGACGCTTCAGGGAGATGGAACCTCACAAGTGGCGATCTCTCCACCATATCCTCAAGCGTACCAATCAAGATGTGAAGCTTTACCTGGAATCCATTGAGGAGCTTGAGGAGAAGGCCCGTACCTGTTATGATGGGGTGATCCCTCTCAGCAGCAATGAATTCGTTGAGATGATGGTGTTGGATGGGTGTTTCATGCTTGAGATCTTCCGAGGCGCCGCCGAGGGGTTCAAGGAACTTGGCTACTCCCGGAATGATCCTGTCTTTGCCATGCGCGGTATTATGCATTCCATACAGCGTGACATGATAATGCTTGAGAATCAGATACCGCTCTTCATATTGGATCGCCTCCTAGGCCTCCAGATTGGAGTGCCTGATCAGAAAGGCCTCGTAGCCAAGCTCGCACTCCGATTCTTTGACCCACTTACGCCCACCGACGAGCCTCTACAGAAGAGCGATAGGACCAAGTTGGAGTCATCTCTGGAACTGGGACATGCAACCACCTTCGATCCCTTGACCGACCAAGGGGGACTTCATTGCCTGGACATTTTCAGGCGGAGTCTCTTGCGTACTGGACCCCAACCTTCGCCCCGGATGTGGATCAGGCGTTGGTCATCACATGCTGTGCGGGTGGCGGATAAGCGGCGACAGCAGCTGATCCACTGTGTCACCGAGCTGAAGGAGGCAGGAGTCAAGTTCAAGAAGCGGAAGACGGATCGCTTCTGGGACATAAAATTCAAGAATGGGGTGCTTTCGATTCCCAGGCTCTTGATCCATGACGGGACCAAATCGTTATTTCTGAACCTCATCGCATTCGAGCAATGCCACCTTGACTGCAGCAATTACATTACCTCGTATGTGATCTTCATGGACAACCTTATAAACTCTCCACAGGATGTGGGCTACCTCCATTACTACGGGATCATCGAGCATTGGCTGGGCAGTGATGCCGAGGTCGCCGATCTCTTCAATCGCCTCTGTCAAGAGGTGGTGTTCGACATAAATGACAGTTACCTGTCGCGATTATCAGAGCAGGTTAACCGCTACTATGACCACAGGTGGAATGCTTGGCGCGCCAGCCTGAAGCACAACTACTTCAACAATCCCTGGGCCATCATCTCCTTCATTGCTGCAGTTGTCTTGTTGTTTCTCACTGGTGCACAGACCTTTTATGGAATATACGCTTATTACAAGCCATCCTGAAATCAGTAAGACCCCATTGTCA